AATGGGACTTGGTGGTTGCATTCTTCAGGTTAATCATATATATACATGAACCCATTTTTCTGTAAAGCTATAAAATGAAAATAATTGCTTATTTTCAAGACTTAATTACTTATTTAGTTTCTTTCCACTACTGTCTTAATTAATGCCCGAATGAAGTTAATGAATTTTAAAATATGTGCAGGCTGAGTATAAGTTTATGAAGAAGGCTATAATGGCCTTCTTCTTCTCAGTAACAACCCCATCTGGAATTGCGATCGGCATGGCACTATCGACTACTTACAGAGAAAATAGCCCTCGTGCTTTGATTACTGTTGGCTTACTTAATGCCTCGTCGGCTGGCCTTCTGGTTTATATGGCTTTGGTGGATCTTCTTACTGCTGATTTCATGGGAAAAAAATTGCAAGGTAGCATCAAGTTACAAATCAAATCTTATATGGCTGTTCTATTGGGTGCTGGTGGGATGTCTCTCATGGCGAAATGGGCTTAGAAACAATGGAACTTTGCATCATCAAATAATAATGTGCGAAAATAAATTTCGTTTTCAGTTTGTTGATTTGAGTGAACCATTTTGTTGTGTACTTCTGAGTACAAGTTGATCGTTTTCATTTTGTTGGAAAAAAATACTTTTATTTGCATTTTGCTCTTATAGTTCATGCTTGACTAAGCTTGAAATTTTACTATAAATTACTTTTTCGTTATCAAAGTTTTATTAATTTTGAAAATAATCACTATATACCATCAAAATACGTAACAACTTTTTACTTATAAGGTGAGAGTAATAAAGTGAATAACTCAAGTGCAAGGGCCGACAAACCATTGTTGATAACAAGTGCCTCCTTAAAAAGCAATTTTAAAGCAATAAGTCGAATTTAAGCCAAAGAATGGGACAACTGACTATTTATTACACAAAATCAAAATATTTTTCCTTTTCTTCTTTTTGGTTAATTTTTAAAATGGCTTTCTAAGATTACATTTTTTCTGTCCATGAAAAATCACAACTTCAGAAATAGTTAGTATAAAACTGTTGAAAATTTTAATGAATAATTTTTTGACAAGTCAAACTTCTAATCCAAAATGAATAATTTTTGAGTTACAGGATCCAGGAAAATTTTCAAATAATGTCAGGATTTGATATTGACGAGTTTGCACGAGTCAATGAAATATACATAGTAGGTGCATAGTTGCAGATAATCGGAGGAGGGCCAGCCAAGACCACAAATGGCTTGTTGGTGCCAGTCCAATCAGGGGCGGACCCAGGATTATGTTCAGGGGGCGAGACAAAATTACGTAAAAAATAATTTCAAATTAGACAATAAAGATAATATTCAAAACGTAGTACTTTTTTTACAATTGTTCCTTACGACTTTTCATATATTCAAAACGTAGTACTTTTTTTACAATTGTTCCTT